TTGAGGGAATTGAGGACCAGAAAGGTTAAGTAATGTGAAAGTTTGGGCAGCTAGTTCCCTGCAAAGCCAGACTTAAACCTGACTCTGACTGACTCCAGAGTTCTCTCTTTTGCCCAGTACCCTCCCTCAGCTCAGCCCATCTGGTCACCTCCCAGACTCATGCAATCACCTTGTGTTCTGCCTTCTTGCTTTGTTAAAGCTCCCACACACTCTACACGCCACCTCTGAACTGCCCCATCCCCTTTTCCAATTGCTCAAGATCCAGCTGAATTACCACCTTCCCACAAAGTCCTGCCTGCATGCTGATCTGTTCAAGCCAACCCTGGTTTCTCTTCTTTCAGACACCACTCAGCAAGTGACATTGGGCGACATATATTTTGGCACTTGGTCATATTTAATTGACAGTGTAATTATATATTATTTGGCTTTGTCTTCTAATTATTTAATGTTTAGAGATCTTGTGTCCCCAATCAGAGTGCAAAAATTCTTTGAGGGCAAGAACCTTGATTTTCCCCTTACTTTTTCTGTGTCCTCCTCTCATCACTTAGCAGAGTGCTAGCAGTCAGTCACCTTAGATAAATGGAGACTTAAAGGGCATTGCAGAGCCAGGAATTCCCAGATTATTAATCATGCTCATATCTTATTATATGGATGCATATCTATACAATACGTTACCCCAAATGCAGCATAAATGTGAGCTGATGGCGACTCCCTGCTGGGCTTCTGGGACTGGGAGTCCTTTGAAGACAGATCAGCCAAAAAGCTGCTGTACCCACCCCTCCCAACTGGCAGTACCCATTCCTTGGCCTTCCTTCCTCTCCATCCTCCCTAAAGGAGATTGCTGAGAGATTTACCAGAAGGAGGGAAAGGAGAACCGGTAGTGGGGCTGGCGAATGAGGGGCTGCTGACAGTACTGAGCCCAGTGTGACTGACCCAGTGACCCACGTGACAGGCCCAGCCTTATGTGCTGGCAACCCATATAGTCATACAAGGTCCTGCACCCAGACCTGCGCTTCCTGTCTTCATCTTGAAATTCTTAATAAGTTTTGAACAAGGAACACCAGATTTTTATTTTGCACTAGGCCCCACACATTACGTAGCTAGCCCTGCATACATCCACAAAGCCAAAGCCCACACAGATTACAGTGAAAACACAGCCTGAAGTTGAACAGCCTGGGCTCCTTCCTGGCTCTCTGCCACTTATGAGTGATGAGGGATTCGTGGGGCAAGTTACCAAACCTCTCTCAACCTGCTCGCAGCTCTGTCTCAGTTTCACCGATTCCTCATCTATAAAGTGCAGGCTCCCTTTTCGTGCTTCCAAGAGGGCCAAAAGAGAAATGCAGGGAAAGAGCTTTGTGCAGTGCCTAGCACTCCAAAAATGGTGGCTACTATGAGTGCTACAGTGATCACTGCTGAGACAGGAGATACAGATGGGAGTTGGGAATGTCAGTGGAACTGGGAAGAGCTGGAGGCTTAGTCTCGACACCAAAGAACTCATACTGGAGGTCCAGAGATCCAGATCCATAGAAACAAGCAGGCCCTAAGAGTGCAGGCCTCCCTTCACTATTAATAACTCTTTCCCTCCCTCTAATTTCCTAATCTTACCCCTCCTGCCTCCTCAGTGAGGGCCTGTGCTCTATCTCAGGCAATTTTCTTATCATGTCTTGAACATGAACATTGCTTGTCTTTCCTTCTGAAACTCTGCACAAAGCTTTTGCTCCTAGAATATCGTCCCTCACTCCTCCTTCCCAGCTCATGCCTAACACCTCCTCTGCAAGGTCACCTTTAGCTGGTGCCTTCTCTACCCCATCTCTCTTTGATTCTGGAGCAGCATTATATTGCAGTTGCTTGGGTCTTGCTTAGAGAGAGAGGATGCCATATCTCCATCTAGAAGGTAAATGCCTGAGGCCAGACACCCAAACCTTTTGAAATTCTGCCCACCACATCAGAATGCCTCTCTCCAAAGCATGAACCATATTCAAGCCTACGTCTCCATGCTCAACTTCCATCTTCATCAAAGCTAATGGAACATACCTGCTCTTTCTCACCTTCTCAAAATGACAGAAGGTTACCACTCTGAAAAGAAGGTTGAAATTCTAAGAAATGGAGTTCCAGAGAACTGCAAGATAATCACTCCTCACAAATACTACTGTCCTCGGCAACATGGGTAAAGGAAACACCACAATGCAGTAAAAAAATCCCTCAGAAAAACAGCCAGGACAGCTAGCATCTGAATTCCAGCTCCTGAGCAAGGAACTTCTCCAAATTCAGTTTTGCTGAGTTTGGTTCTGAGTTTTGAAGATAGTGCCTACTTACCCCAGACTGTGTATATGGCTGGCCCCTCCAAGATACCTGGGGCAGAGATTTTATTATTTTTCCACTTATGAGTGAAGGAAGTGGAGCTGGTTCTAAGCAAAACTGTCAAGTTCCGGAAACTGTTCAGCAGTCCTCTTTCCAATTCTTTTAGCCCAGATCCCTTCTACCCTCTTCCATTATTCAGTGGGAGTAGAGGAGAGGGCCTCCCCTCTCAAATATTTTTCTAATTTTTTTCATTTAAACATGAAATAATTTGAATAGTAGACTCCATTTTTACAGGAGTGAGGTGACTTTTAGTCAACTGCCTTTCCCAGGTCAAGTGAACATTGAGCATTTAATCAGTAACAATGATGGGTGACCCATTTTACTCCTCATTCTAATAATTATGTCTGAGAATATTTTGATGGAGATCATGGGGAGCCTTTTAATCCCTGAAGTTCCCTTGTACCCACTCAAAACACTGTAAATAAACCTTACTTGATCATTTTGCTCTGTTATCTATAGCTATATAATAAACTACCTCCAAATTTAGCCGCCTAAAACAGAAACCAGTTTATTGTGAATTACGATTCTGTAGGTCAGGAATTTGGACAGGGCTCAGATGGATGATTCTTCTGCTCCACAGGCACTGACCGGACTAACCCAGTCACATTCAGCTGGTGGCTCAACTAGGCTGGACAGTCCAAGATGGCTTTGCTTATATGTCTTCTACCTTGCCTAAAGTGGCAAGAGGGCTGAACTCATCTGGGTACTTCTCCCTTTTCATGTAGTCTCAGGGTCTGTTTCTCTAGTAGGGAGATCAAACTTCTTAGACAGCAGCTCAAGAGAGTTAAAAAAGAGCAAGGTGGGAGCTGCAAATCCTCTTAAAGACTAGGCCTAGAACTCAGACAATGCCACTTCTGCTGTATTCTACTGGACAAAGCAGTCAGAGGCCAGCCAAAATTCAGAAGGGGAGACATATATCCCACCTCTCAAGGGAGGCATGTCAAATAATTTATGGCCCTCTTTTAACCCACCACACAGGGTAACTTGATGGGGACTCAGAAGGAAAGATGTATGAGAGAAAAAGGAAGATGCCTGGGATAATGAAGAGTTTCTTGATGTGATGGTTAAACTTTCAGACTTGGCTGAGGTCCCTAAAGAAGGTATAAAACACCTCAGTCTCCCAGCTATCTCCCCTTTCTACATCCCAGATCTAGCTTGGCCTGGTCAGAACCCAGAAATTGTCCTCAGTGGTTAATCCAAAATCCAGCCCACTGTCTGGAACCCATTCTACCCAAACACCTAACCCTCTTCTGAGATCCTCTACTCCCCATCTTCAAACAACTTCCGTCTTCTCCTTTTGCCCAAAGGAATCCAAATCCTTCTCCTGTAAGCCTTACTATCACCCATGACTGGTTTCGCTAACCAATATGGTCACCTTCCACTTAAGGGGCACTTACTTTGTATCAGGGTCTGTGCTAAGTGCTTTATATGTGTTATTACATTTTCTCCTTGCCAGAAAGTATTACTCTTATTTTACAAAAGAGGAAACAGACCCAGAGAGATATGCAACACACCCAAGCTCAAGTGGTCCAATTCAAAAGTCCAGGCTTTAAGGATATTGCTATACATCTTCTCATGTAATTATCTACTATGATTTAAATGAACTACTCACATGCTTATGCCTGGGCCTTATATCCTAGGCTCCCTACAAAGAGTGTTCAGGGGCTGGAAGCCCCTCAAAATGCTGTCAAGGACTTCTTTAGATTGCAGGGGAAGGAAGAAAGGAACTCAGGGACCCTAAATCCTTAAAAGAGGGAATGCAAGAAATCGCTGTTGAAAACTTATGGTCAAGATTTTTGTCTTAATTTATGTCATGGTGTGTGGGTGGTGGTGAGGATAGATGTGTCCATGAGATCACAGAAATCTGGTTACAGAGAGATAAAAGAGAACTAATTCAGCAGGAAGAATGAAAACTGAACAGTTCATCTGGCAATAATAAAAGCACCGTAGTTACACCCGCTTAACTGTAAGTTAAGCTCTGACAACCTCGATTCTGTGGAATGCAGCAGCAAATCTGGAAGTGAAAAAGGCCTTTAAGCACCAAAAATAACTGACATGAATTGAACCAAAGCCAGGTCCTTAGGCCTACACAGGGAGCCTTAGTGGGTTACATTGGAGAAAATATTTAAGATTTTTGGCCTCTGGCTTCCTAGCCCAGGGCCCTTGAAGAGCAAGGTGGGGTGTGAGTGAAAGGCCTTCTAGAGAAGGAAGCATTTTGAGAGCAAAGGGACACCAAACAACCTCAAAGATTTGCTTTGGGAGCAAAAGACAATAGGACTTAGAAGTAGACAAGCATTGTGTTACATGTCACTTCATCTTAGAAAAAGTATCCTAACATTTCATTGGATGGTGTCTGGTGCTTTAGCGAGCCCTTTCCCACACAGTGAAACGGGCAGCCAAGGATGAAACAAATACTCAGAGAGGCTTAGTGACTTTTATGTGACTGTGCAGATTAGCGAGTGGCGAAGCTGGAACTAAACCCAGATTGCATGATGTCTAACACAAAATATTTTCCTCTATACCATGATTTTGCCCTTTCCTGTATACCATCATGCCTCCTTTTTTCATTATGATGACCATGAGTCATCAAGAAAAGGTTAGTTTACGTCTAGTAAACTCTGCGGAAGAAAACAGGGAAGTGGATAGTACATTTTTTTAATAAGTTTTCATTAAAAAATATAAAAATAGCTTAGCATTCAGGATAAAGTTCAACTTTCTGTTCTCAGCTACATTATATAGTCCTTTACCTTTTATACCTAATTTGCCATACAGCACAATAATGTTGATATGCAACATCTTCAAAATATGCCTTGTGAATTTTTTACTATCAGTCATTCCTCTGTCTCTCTATTCTACTGCCTTGATTCTGTTCCCTCCTCTCTCTCCTAAATGCTCATAAAATTTCTGGTTGGAATCCTGCCTCCAATTTTGATCCCTTAAATTTATCTTCCATTCACATAATTCTGATCAAGCTAGTGGGGAAAAAGTCACAGCTCTTTAGCAGCAACCGAGGTCTCACTCTATTATCCAACTCCTGCCAACCTCCACAGCCTCGTGTCTTGCCACTCTCAGCTCCACACTTGAGTTTCCTACAGCACCGAAAGGTTACAAAGGCTTGTAACTAAGTTTCTCTCCATATCTGGTATTCTCTGCTCTTGCTATTATCCTCTCCACCTGAAATGCCCTTTGTCCAGTCCTTTATTTAATTCCTGCACATCTTTAAAAATCCAAGCTTAATTGTCATCTAGACGCCTCTTCTTGGTGTCCCCGCAACACCACAATGTCTCTATCCTTGCTTGTATCAATTAGGATGCTTGTGGTTGTGAGTAACAGAACTCCCACACCTAAAGCAACTGAAACAATAGTCAGTTATTGTCTCTTCACAAGAAGTCTGAAAGTAGATGATTCCAGGGTTGCCTTCGTGATATCAGGGTTCTAAGCTTCTGTGGAATTCTCTTGGCCCTTCTGCAGGATGGCTGCAGCTGTTCCAAACTCGTGACAACATTTAAAACCAGGAAAGGTGTATTAATTTGTTAAAGCTGCCATATCAAAGTACCATAGAGTGGATGACTTAAGCAACAGAAATTTTACTTTCTCACAGTTCTGGAGGTTAGAAGTCCGAGATCAAAGTGTTGGCAGGATTGGCTCCTTCAGACGTCTCTTTCCTTGGCTTATAGATGGCCTCTTCTTGCTGTGTCCTCACATGTCTTCCTTCTGTTGAATGTCCATGTTCTAATGCCCTCTTCCTACAAGAACACCAGTCATACTGGATTAGGTTCCACCCTAATGGCCTTATTTTAACCTAATTACCTCTTTAAAGACCGTATCTCCAAATACAGTCACATTCTGAGGTCCCAGGAGTTAGGACTTGAATAAACAAATTCTAAGAGAACATGATTCAGCCCATAACAGGAGACTCAGGATTAGGAGTTCCTCTCTGTTTTCAGGTGAAAAATCTTTCCTAAAATCCTTCCAGTAGACTGACCAGAATTTGGTAACTTGCCCTCTTCCTGGTTACAAGGAAAGTCAGAAAAGCATTCTCACTTTTATAATGGGAAGAGGGCTCTGGAAGCCAGAAAGGGCTGCGAATGACTACTGGGTGGGTTACTAAACCATTGAACTCTGCTTCCACATTGGGTCATAGTTATCTGCTTATGTGTCTACCTTTCCCATTAGCTCTTTGAAGCAGAGACCAGTGTTTCAATCATCTGTATACCCCCAGCAAAGCACTGTGCCTGGCTCATAGTAGCTTCTCAACCAATATCTGTTGAAGGAATGCACAAATAGAATTTAATGAACTAGATGAACCTGTTTGTGTTATATTTGATTACATTAAACTTGGTTCACGTTTACTCTGTTCATATGGTTTGGCTTGCATAACATATGAACACCTTTAATATTTAACTTCATTTAAAACTATCATTCACACCTTTAAGAGATTGCAGGGAATATTGCTAATAGAACTGCTATTACAATAAGAGGAGACCAAATTCTGTAAGCTTTGTCTTCCCAAAATCTGACATAGTGAATGGCACACAGTAGGTTCTGTATGAATTTTTGTGGAATAAATAATGGATGAATTAATCATTAAAATGTTTTTAAATGCTTTGAAAAATATTATTATACAAATCTAAGGGGTTATTGCATTTTCTAGAAAAACATCTTTCAGAACTGGGCATCCCTTCTGTTCTGATACTTGCAAAGGTGGTGTGTCAGCAAGTATTTATATCACCAAGCCATTTATATTCTAACAAAGAATAATCTTGGCTGGGCACAGTGGCTCACTCCTATAATCCCAAAACTTTAGGATGCCGAGGAGGGGAGACTGTTTGAGCCCAGAGGTTTAAGACCAGCCTGAGATCTCATTTCTACCATATATATATATATATAATCTCCAGGTGTGGTGGTGCACACCTGTAGTCCCAATTACTCAGAAGACTGAGGTCGGAAGATGGCTTGAGCCCAGGATGCCAAGGCTGGAGCGAGCTGAGATCATGCCACTGAACTCCAGCCTGGGCAACAGAGTAAGACCCTGTCTCCAAAACAAAACAGAAAAAGAAGAATGATCTTGGTGAGCCTGGCCAATAGACCTGTAACACTCTCTTATGCTCAGAGCAATTTCAACTGAGAAATAAAGATACATGAATAACTATAAGATTAAACTGTTTGAAATGGTGTTTGATTCTGGTTCTGTGGAATTGCAGGAAGCAAATCAGAAATCCACACGAAGCACTGCTGGATTCTAGTATGAGTCACTTTTGCTCCACAAAACCCACATATCTGACCTTCCATGTTCTACAGAATAGGGAAGAACCAATAGCCTAACTAATGAGTGTCACTGGTTGTGAGGTCAAGTAACTGATTTGGTTGTTCCCCAAACTCTGACTACCCTCCTAATGTTAGAGATTCTCACGATTTGCGTTGAATTCCTACTTCTATCTCTCTGCATCAAGTTGAGAGGACACAGGCAGGTAAGGTGCGAATTACATGGAGTAAATGAGAAGTTGGGGAGGCAAAAATCAGTTACCGCAACTGGGTTTCCAGTGGCAGTATATTTTGGCACCGTAGGACAAACTATGTAACTGAGAGTTGAGTCTTCGCTAGCCCTGTTTCAGACCCAAGGGACCTATGCCTCCTACACACAGTTCAATTAATGAGGTTTAATTAAAACATTCAGGTTCAATTTGTGTTTCAGGGCTTCAGGGGCAGTCTCAGGGCAAAATATTTTCCACAAGGAACTTAAGAGAAACTAGCACTATTGTGGACCAGACTGGCATGCAGGGGCAGGAGACGACTTGGTCTGCAACCAACATCTGCATAATGGAGAAGCTGGACAAGATGGCACTTGTGTGTGTCTGTGCTTCTGCAGGGCCTGTTCTCTGTGCCCCAGGTGCTTTCCTAAGTGCCAGGAGAAGGAGGTGCATGCTAGGGTGTTTTCCTCACAAGTTTTCAGTTTTTCTTCTTTCCTTAAAGTACTGGCACCCCAAATTTTTGCTACGAAATCATGACCTGTTGCTATAATGATGGTGAGTTTCTAAATATTGTGCCAATGAACTTGGTCCTCACACATTATTGCAAGCACCTTAGCCAAGCCCATTACAATAATCTATTGTTGAGAGAAATATATCCTGGCAATACATGTATCTAGAAGTTCCGCCTTCTGAACTGATGCCAAAATATGATAGATGCCCAGTTCCTTATGATTTCCAACTACTGTACATGAACTGCCACCCCCCTCTCCCTGCTGCCAACATAATGACTAGCTTACTTTGATGTTCTCTGCTTTCCACAGCGGCTTTAACTCTCTGCCAGAGTTTCACGCACTAAGCACTCTGCTATTTGGAATCTCATTACCTGCAACCCCAGTGACTGGCATCCCACAGATCAAAGGCACAATAATTCATGAGACACTGCATGATCCTGCAGTGACTTCTGAACCATTCTGAAAATATTTGATTCCATTTAGGATAATTTAACATTGGTGTTTTAATGTATTCTGCAGAAGTTGTTTTCATGCTTGCTCCAAGTAGTCTATCAAATTATACAATCATACATTCTAATACATTAAGATGATACAGACAGACTGGAATGAATAACAGATAAAACTAACAAAATAAAATTGACTGGAATTAGTGTAATTGATGTAAAATGTCTGGCATTTAGGTTTATATACTACTTAACAGAAAAGACCTGGGTTAACAGTCCTTATAAGAAAGCCATCAGGAGTTTGACTATAAACTCAGCAGTGTACTATGACCTCTGAAACATTCAATCCTACCCAAGGCTATCTTAAAAAAAAATATATATATATAGTATCCGGGTCAAGGAGGGAAGAGTTTCACTCTATACTTTGCTAGTCAGGCCAGGTCTGTGGAGGACTGTGTTTGGTTATAGAAGCCACATTGTAAGAGGAAAGGAACTAAGGATGAGGATGTTTCTTCTGGCAACTCTGGCATAATACTTGTCTTCAAATAGTTGATGGGTTGTCACATGGAAGAAACATTAAATGTAATTACACTAAATTTAATCACAGCACCACAGCAGGAGTCATGTGCAGAGTCCATGGAAGACATTTCAGCTCCATATAAGAAAGAACTTTCTACAAATTAGGGTGATCTAAGCATTGAACTTGGATGAAATCCAGGAGGGGCAAAAGAAGACTTCTGGGCCATGGTAAATTCGATTATTTGCCTAGATGTCAGGTACTTAAGTGTTTTATTGTTTTCCTTCAACTGATCCATACACATTTTTATATACTCTTTGTAGATATATTTAATGATGAAAAACACTGACTAGTTTGCTGGGCAAAGTAATGACATCATCATGAGGCTTCCAGGAGAGGCTGGTGGCAACTGCATGAGAGGATGAGATAGACGACCTCTGACATTCACTCCATCTCTAAGATTCTACAAGTCCATAAATGCATGGGTAATTATGAAAGCAAAGTTCATCTAAAATGTTCTTAAAGTGACAGTCTTTTAATTAACTTGATTTGAAGCCTCATCCATTGTTTAATATAACCATTACTGGCATTTGTTAGACTATGATCCCTGTCTCTATTATAGTAATTACTTTTATTGGTCACTACATACTGATAGACACAGCCTCTGCCCTCTTAGGATGACAAATGATACGGACAATCATAAAGAAAACACAATGAGAGCCGGATATGAACAGTAAATAAATACAAAAGAAAGCAAAAAGGTTTATGTGGTAAACAGGTCAAGGTTTCTGGTGTTATAAGCGTGGGGAACAAATGCCAGACCTTGGAAAACACACCCTAGATAGGTTAAGACCAGAAGAAGCTAGCTCTCTGCTCCAATTAACTTAGCGAGCTTCCTGGAGTAAGCAAGCCTTCAGAAATATACAGATTCCAGCCGCCACATCTGGTCAGAGGAGTCTTTCTCCTGGGATGCCAGCGGGAAGGGGGGTGTCAGTGAAATAGCTTAAATGGTCATTTCCTCATGTTAATCCTGTCTCCCCTTGTGTTCCTTCATGATATCTCACTACCCTCTCCCCTGCACTGATTTGAGAGAGGGGAACCAACACCTGAAAAAGGGAAATGAGAGGAAGGGGTATTTGTGGACTATGATGGACGTGGAATTGGGGAGAGTCCTTGAGTCCCCAAGTCACTGCTAAATAAACATCCAGGCTCTCTGCTCCTGGTTGAGCTGTAACTTCGGGCAAAGTTACTTCTGCTTTGGACTCATTTAACCTTTAGTCTGGGGATCCCCAATCATGTTACTGACATTAATTCCTCTATCCTCACAACAACCATGAGTTGACGGGAAAAGTAAACCAAAACACAAGATCTTATGAGTTAGTGGAGTCCAATGTGGTAAAATGCAAATAATAAAGTTTTCTTTCCTCTGAGAATTTATCTTCACTTTACTGAAGGGGAAACTGAGTCACAAAGGGTGAAAATAAATCAATTTCATATTTTCCCTTCATTCTTTTACTTCATCAATAATGTTTTAACCTTATACTGTTTTTCCTTCTGGAAATCCTTATTATGGATTTTCTGGATGGGGGAAACTGAAGCACAATGTGATTACAATGTATCGCCTCAAGCTAGGACTCATAAAACAGTGCCTAGATAAGAAACTGCGGAACCTAAGTTCTAAAAAAGAATTTTTGTCCTGAGAATTAGATTGCCATCCAAATCTGAAACATTAAATCCCCACTCAAAGTTTGCGAAATTAGGTGAAAACTGCTGTAAAGTTTGAGTTGTTGATACTAAGAACAGTGCGAGGTCTAAGATGGCAGCAAGAGTTACCATCCTTGAGCTTTGTAAAGGTTTTCAGGGTTTACAAGCGCTCCACAGCTATTACATTCTGTCCTTCTCAGGGACATTAATAGTGTCCCCTTTTAGAGATGAGAAGCCTGAATCTCAGACATCAGTGGCTTGTCAGAGAATAGAGTTAGCAAAGGACAGAACTGGGACTAAAACTCGTCTTCTGAATTCAAGTTTAGTGAAAACAAACTGGGGGAAAGGGCACCAGCCTTTTACTGGGAGACTTAGGTGGAGACAGGGAGGACTGAGGGAGAAGGCAGAAGCACATCAGCACATATGATGGCAGAGAAGGAAATTGTCATCATTAGACATCTCAAATGATGACATGAAACTGCTCTGGGCAGTGTGGGGACCTACTGACTGTGGCTGTAACCCCTGAGGGCCTACAATCTAAGACAAACACACTAGGAAGAACAAATACTTCTATGACATACAGATGCTAGAATAAGACAGTCATCTACTACAAGAATAGAGAGGAAAGCATTTACATCACATACATGTTCAGGTTAGTTCAGTGTGTGGAGAATATAAATGAAAACAGGAGCAATAAAGAAGCACAAGCCAGGGAAGAAACACACACACTCATACACACCAATCCAGAAAGGTTTTTCCGAAGAAAAATAATTCTAGGAATTATTTGCTTTATCTTTTTTTAATTTAAGAAGCAGTGAAATGGCTGTATTGTTGTGACAGTGGAATTGAAAGCTCGAGGTCTGGAACAGAAACTTATCCTAGACATACAGAACAATTACCAAGATGGGTGGGAAGCAGGTAGGAAGGTAATGTCAGTGGACAAAGACAGCTTTGAGCAAGTGGAAATTCAAGAGAGATTACAACCTGTCTTGACTCTTATGCTAAGTGTCTAAGTGTTTCCACCCCCAAGCTTTCAGAAAGCTCCTGCTCTCCCTATTTCAGGAACATGAAGAATCTCCATGTTATGAAAACCTATTTGCAGCAGATGGAGAAGGCAGCAGTGCCATGGTGAAGGAAACAGTGGATAGGGACCTTGGGTATGCTGGGCCATAAGTCCCTAGCCAGCCGAATGTCCCCAGATCCTACCACCACATGAGAGGATCCCAGCCACAACTCATTTATTCAGACCCACTAATTACTAGGGAATTTCCAGTTTGCTTCATCAAACCCAAATTCACCTCTTGAGTTT